CATCAGTGTCTTCTCCAGGGAGTCTTCTCTTCTCATGAGGTGGCCAAAGTACTGGAGCCTCAGCTTCACGATCTGTCCTTCCAGTGAGCACTCAGGGCTGATTTCCTTAAGAATGGATGCGTTTGATCTTCTTGCAGTCCATGGGACTCTCAAGAGTCTTCTCCAGCACCATAATTCAAAAGCATCAATTCTTCGGCGATCAGCCTTCTTTATGGTCCAGCTCTCACTTCCATACATCACTACTGGGAAAACCATGGCTTTAACTATACGGACCTTTGTTGGTAAGGTGACGTCTCTACTTCTCAAGATGCTGTCTAGGCCTGTCATTTGCCTACACCACAAATATTTGCATATGCTAATTTATATGTTGTTGTTTAGTCATTTAGTCGTGTCCGACTCTTCGTGACCCCATGGACCAGAGCACACCAGGCACTCCTGTCTTCCACTGCCTCTCACAGTTTGGTCAAACTCATGTTAGTAGCTTTGAGAACACTGTCCAACCATCTCGTCCTCTGTTGTTCCTTTTTTATTTATACGTACAGATGCACATTTAGACATTATTGCTATCATTTCAATGGAAATACGATACATCTCTCCATACTGGTGAAAGACTGACCCTTGGGCCTACTCAGTCTGATTGGCAACTTCAAGACCCCTTCTCTCCCTTTTTATGCCTGTATTCTTTAAACTGGACTTAGACGGCAATATTTCATAGAGATAGTCCTCTGTAAAGTGGAACACATAGCTAGCTGACTGGTTGACCCCCCCGCCCCAACTAAGAATAAAACAAACAAACAATTATAAGATGACTTCTATTTAAAGAATGGAAACTTGTTATAAGCGTGAGGAGAAAAATCTGCTTCTGTGTGTTTTAAAACAGTAATGGCTGGTTTTTCCTCAAAATATTATATTCAATCATTAATTCATTCTATTTTCATTTTGCTTTCCAGCCAGCTGGCTCCAAGAGTGGATTACACTAATAAAATAATCAGATTAAAACGCAATAAAACCGTATTTAAAATTGCATTTAAAATCCATCAACTGAAACCATCAAGAACAATAGAAAGGCACAATTGTAGCTACCAGAAGCAAAGAGGAGCAGCCCCAGTTGAGCATTTGTTGATAGACCCATGTGTGCTGGGATAAGCTGTAAAAGTGTTGTGTAATGGAAGGGAGCTCCCCCCCCATCCCTTTCTATGGACATGTCCATGTGAGAGCTATGTATTGCTGAGAATCCACTGTTTTCTCATTTGTCTTCCTAATACGCTCAGGTGCGCATTTGCTTCAGCCTTTGTTTCGGCTGCAAATATGCTGCTTACAGATCACACTTGTAGGCATTCCCTTCTTTTGGCATAATCCACATTGCGTTCATCTTATCCCACCTGCCAATTAGTCAAGTCAAGTCAAATAACCTTTATTGGCACCACATAAGAACATTCAGAATAGATAGGCCAGTGCGATCTCGTTGTCACCCAACGGCGCAGTCACCCGCCAAAGGGCAAAAAAGGCAAGCAATCCACCTCATTTCTGCAGGTTTCCAGCAAGGGCAGGATGTGAGGGCGATCTGGCTGTGACATCTGTCGCCCCATTGATCGCCCGGGTTGATTCGGCTGATCTGGCTGGCTAGGCGCGTGTCCCCTTCTTCCCTCACCGCTCCATGTGCGTCCCTCCCGAAGCTGCACGCTCAGTGGAAGAAGACAACCATCCCAGATAGAAGGAGTGTACCGTTCTTTGGTCAAGGGTATACGATAGCTGTGCTCCCCTGCTAGAACCTCCAAACAAGCCAATTATTTAAACTCACCCCTTCCATTAGACTCAGTTTTGTTGATGGCTTTTTCCACACCCATACTTTTCTGGAAATCCAGAAAAGAACGTATCTGAAAAACCTTAGCATGCACACAAATCATGAACAAAACCTTTCGTAAGAGCACCAAAGGAAAGAGAGAAAATGTGAGAGAGAGCACTGTTCCTAGATTTGGAAGTGTGAGGTTCAATAAAAAAAAGGGGAAATGATTTTTTAACACTCAGTAGTGGGGGTGGGGGGTGCGGGCTGACCCTGGTGTCATCACTGAGGGGGGTGACAAAATGACAAAAATATGAGGTGTTTTTTTAAAAAAAATTGGGCTCACGAAACTTTTTAGTTCAGTCAACAAAAAATTCGGCAGCATTTTAGTGCGATTTTCTCCCTATCGACACACCTTTGTATACAGTTTTGATGAATGTACTCATAGTTGTAAGCAATAACTCCGCATAGTATGTTTTTTGGATCATATGCTATTTTCCCGTTTTTCTTTTTTATATATACATACTTCCCCTTAAAATGTGCATTTCTTGTAAACACTGGTTTGGTTGGAGAACTGCATTCAATTCAGATAAGTACAAATGTTGAACAATGGTTGTGTTTCGGTTCTCATATTGTTTTGATAGATTTGATAGATACAGCTTTGAACTGAATCATATTTCTCCCCCATCCCTAGTCCCAGCTAGGAATGCTTGAGGAATTAGATCTTTGTGAATTCTGGTACAAAATGATCACATCTGTATTTCCAATGGGGGTGTTGGAATCAAGCTATTCTCCAAGACTGGATCTCCATTGATCTGCTAAACATTATTCAATTGAATGTTCTATAAGGTTCAATGGCAATTTCCCTTTGTCGGTGACTTGCTGCTCTGCAGCGTCCTCTGGTGTCACATTTTAACATTATAAACGAGTGTAGATCTGCCCCAAATCTCAGTTTCACAAATGGTAAAGGTAAAGGGACCCCTGACCATTAGGTCCAGTCGTGACCGACTCTGGGGTTGTGGCGTTCATCTCGCTTTATTGGCTGAGGGAGTAGCTTCCAGGTCATGTGGCCAGCATAACTAAGCCGCTTCTGGCGAACCAGAGCAGTGCACGGAAACACCATTTACCTTCCCGCCACAGCGGTACCTATTTATCTACTTGTACTTTGACGTGCTTTTGAACTGCTAGGTTGGCAGGAGCAGGAACCGAGCAATGGGAGCTCACCCCATCGCGTGGATTCGAACCACCGACCTTCTGATCGGCAAGTCTTAGGCTCTGTGGTTTAACCCACAGCACCACACAAATGGTACTGAAGAATTAAAGATGTTTGCAGGCATTAAACAATCCTAAGGCTTCTGCAGTTTGTGTCAATGGCATTTCAAGCACAACCCAAGCTGCTATGAATAAGTGCCACTTATAGTTTGTACCAAAACCTTGTGTGTGCCAAGACAAATCTTAAAAGTATTCTGTGCTTCTGTTCCACATAATTATTATTTGCTTGTTCCAATGGTTTCCTATTCCTATATTCCTTGTAGTATCTCAGCTACACTGTGGGCTAGGATAGGCTATTAATGCCTTGAAAGGTCTGCCATCGAGCTTCATAACTGATTGGGAAATGTCTTATAGGTGCATTTTAATTGAACAAATTTCTGCAGTATCTCCAAGTTTTTGCAGATTCACTAAGAATGGTTTTTTAAAAAAAGGTTCTCAAAATAAGATAAAAGCTATCCAAAAACAGGAATTGGTTTTTTTAAAAAAGTAAAATAATTTAGAACAAACAACAATACAACCCCTATTTTTTCAGATTAATTTGCCAATTAAAAAGGGGGCATTGCTCTGCTACATATATCACCAGCTTTGGGATAATAATAATAATAATAATAATAATAATAATAATAGTTTATTTCTTTATACCCCACCCACTATGGGCGGCTCCCAACAAAATAAAAAAGCAATAAAATATCAAACATTAAAAACTTCCCTAAACAGGGCTGCCTTCAGATGTCTTCTAAAAGTCAGATAGTTCTTTATTTCCTTGACATCTGATGGGAGAGCATTCCACAGGGCAGGCTTTACTACTGAGAAGGTCCTCTGCCTGGTTCCCTGTAGCTTCACTTCTCGCAGTGAGGGAACCGAATAACAGTTGTTATAGAGTTGGAAGGGACGCCGAGGATCATCTAGTGCAACCCCCTGCAATGCAGGAAAGTCAGCTAGACCATGCATGACAGATGGCTACCCAACCTCTGGTTACAAACCTCCAAAGAAGGAGTGTCCACGACCTTACAAGGGAGTCTGTTCCATTGTCAAACAGCTCTTACTGTCAGAAAGGGCTTCTCGGTTTAGTTAGTCAGAATCTCCTTTTTTTTTGTAACTTGAAGATATTGGTTTGGGTCCTACCCTCTGGGTGGTGCTCTGGTCTAAACCACTGAGCCTCTTGGGCTTGCTGATCTGAGGGTCGACGGTTCGAATCCGTACGACAGGGTGAGCTCCTGTTGCTCTGTCCCAGCTCCTGCCAACCTAGCAGTTCAAAAGCATGCCAGTGCAAGTAGATAAATAGGTACCACTGCAGTGGGAAGGTAAACGACGTTTCCATCATGGTGTCCCGTTGCGCCAGAAGTGATTTAGTCCTACTGGCCACATGACCAGGAAAGCGGTCTGTGGACAAATGCCGGCTTCCTCAGCCTGAAGCGAGTTGAGCACCACGCCCCATAACTGGACATAACTTAACCATCCAGGGCTCCTTTACCTTTTTTTTACCTTACCCTCCAGAGCAGGAGAAAACAAGCTTGCTCCATCTGATGTGACAGCCCTTTATATATTTGAAGACTACTTTTGAGTGTGAATATATTGGGTATTTTTCCTTGACCCATTGGTGAGCTTTATGCTCCCTTATATTGGGATGTGTGTTAACTGTTAATTGTTGCCTTTTTTCTATGTTCTATTACAATTATTATACTTTTCATTATGTATCATTATTGTATTCCTGTATTTAGACTTCTTTATGTGAATTGCTTTCAGCACAGATGCATTTGTGGAAAACATGGTATGCAAATAATTTGGCTGTAACTATGATATACATCTGTATCAAGAGATGTTTGTTTTCATTAGTAGTAATTGCAGCTGAAAATGCAATTGTACATGATTAATCAAAAGAATATTTCCCCCTCAAAGACATTGCTTTTTTAGGATTACTAAAGCTGTCTTTTTATCGTCACAGGCTGGAACTAATGGATACATGGCTCCTGAAATCCTAAACGAAGAGAATTACACCTACTCAGTGGACTGGTTTGCTATGGGGTGTAGTATTTATGAGATGGTTGCTGGTCGAACTCCATTCAAGGATTTCAAAGAGAAAGTTGACAAAAGTGAAGTTAAAAGAAGAACCATAGAAGATGAGGTGAAGTTTGAGCATGCTAACTTTGATGAGCCAACAAAAGATATATGTAAAGCGTTCTTGGCAAAGAAACCAGCAGATCGTTTGGGAACCAGGTAGGATTCTATTTACCTTGACTGAAAAAAGAAGTTAAGGAGTAATGCCACCCATTTGTTTTAGGGAAATGAGGTTCATAGGTTCTATAGAGTTTTCTAAGACTGTTTACGCTGGGAAGGTCCAAATGTGTCTCATTGTTAATGTTGGCCAGAAAGCAGAATGGAGGTATCATAAATTGGATGTACATTTTACCCTATGTAAGTTTTGTGTTCTCTTACAGCAGAGCAGACACAGGAAAACTGACTTCATGTATCAAAATGCTTTAAATGTTTCATTTAAGGGTGGCTATCCTATTGGCGTTCAGTAACACCTGGAATTTAGTAACCATAAGTACTAAAGGAAAACACTTTAACTTTAACTAGGCAGGGATATTATCTCAAGTCTGAAGTTCTTCTCTGATGGTTGTGGTCACGTACATTTCAAGCACATTTAAGGCACACGTAAAGTGCAAGGCTTCCTCCAAAGAATGCCAGCAACTGTAATTTATTAAGGGTGCTGGGAATTATGACTCTGTGAGGAGTAAGCTATGGTTCCGAGAATACTTTGTGGGAAGCCATGACTGCTAAATGTGCTTAAATCTATGGTGTAGGTGTGGCCAGGTAACTTTTAAAGAACAGGGAGAAGAAGAAGAGTTTGGATTTGATATCCCGCTTTATCACTACCCTAAGGAGTCTCAAAGCGGCTAACATTCTCCTTTCCCTTCCTCCCCCACAACAAACACTCTGTGAGGTGAGTGAGGCTGAGAGACTTCGAAGAAGTGTGACTGGCCCAAGGTCACCCAGCAGCTGCATGTGGAGGAGCGGAGACGCGAACCCGGTTCCCCAGATTATGAGACTACCGCTCTTAACCACTACACCACACTGGCTCTCTTATGGAAAAAATACTTTCCATAATTGTTTTCCTCCGAAGGCATAGTACGGAATGCATTCTTAGAGCTGCTTTGCTCTTTTAATGAACTTCCAATTCATGGCCAGTGCATTGAAATACAGTTTCCTGAGTCTGTCTTTTTCCTTTGTTCCCTTGTGCGCTGGTGATGTCCAGTCATGACACAACAATAAGGGCTGTACTTTGGTTGTAAAATACAGCCTATGTAAACTACAGCGCACAATCCTTAATCTACCCCCATCAATAATATTATTACAGGCCACCCCAGTCTGTGCTGAGCCGTGCACAGGATTCCAGGGGGCTTGGCCCTCAACCAGTGTCTGTGCTCCTTTGTAGAATTGAAGATGTGGCAGAAGCTGTCGTGTCTTTAAGAAATATTATTTGTTCACATATCTACACCTGGATTTAGATGGAGGAAGTCTAGTTCCTACAGCATGGTCATCTCAAGAGGGTCTTGTTCCCCACAGCAGGGCAGCACTGGAGTTCAAGGCATCTCTCCCAGCCTGCCTTCAACCAACCAGCCAAGATTGCTCTGCCATTTTTTTCAGGTGCCAAACTCTTCCTGTGACATCATATCCAGTTACCTTGGCAACCTTCCAGATTTCCTGTCTGTGTTCACACCTCATGGCAGGGGAGTTCTCTTGCATTGCAAATGCCCCCCCAATGGCCCTGCATTTGTTTCTTAATGACCTTAGCTGGGCCAGGTTTTCTTGCATAGGTTAGCCCAGAAATCCCCCTACAGCTTGTATTTCCCCTTCATATCCCAAATAATCAAAATCCTGCCATTTATTAATGTTTAGGGTTTGGGAGGGGGTCCCCCACTGAGCCTCTTGGGCTTGCCGATCAGAAGGTTGGCAGATCAAATCCCCGCAATGGGGTGAGCTCCCGTTGCTCTGTCCCAGCTTCTGCCCATCTAGCAGTTCAAAAGCATACCAGTACAAGTACATAAATAGGTACTGCTGTGGCGGGAAGGTAAACGGCATTTCTATGAGCTCTGTCTTCTGTCACAGTGTCCCCTTGTGCCAGAAGCGGTTTAGTCCTGCTGGCCACATGACTCGGAAAGATGTCTGTGGGCAAACGACAGCTCCCTCAGCTTGAAAGCGAGATGAGCGCTACACCCCATAGTCAAATTCGACTGGACTTAACAGTCCAGGGGTCCTTTACCTTTTTACCTTAAGCAAAATCCTATCATTTATTAATGTTGGGGGGGAGGTCCCCCCAAAACCTATAACACCACCCCTTTTTGGAGAAAGGTTCATATTTCCATAGATGTGCAAAAGAAATAACAGAAAAGTTGCTAACAACATTTAGAACAATACATCAAAGCAGACCATAGCATAGTGACACGTTTAAAAACACAATAGCACTTCCTCTCCAAGTGATTCCCCAGCTAAGGGCACAACAGCAAGGGTTGTGCTTGGGCTGATAGGCTCCTCTTTGTAAATTATGATGCACAATCCTTAATTCACCCCTTGAGAAACAAAAGTATTCCAATGTGCCATTTGTGTATGTGCCACTTTTCAGAGTTGCCTTAGCAGCACATGCAGTTCTCTGCTTCCAATCTGCCGGGGAGAGAGAGAGAGTGAAAGTGGGATAGCTAAGAGAATGGAAGGAAGAATTTGGCCAAATTCATATGTACTTAAACCTTGGTTATAGTTGGGAATAAGTATTAGGAGGGTAAACCAAACACCACACAGAAAGGTGGGTTTCAAGGAAGATTTGAAGGAAGGGAAAGAGTTTAGAGTTGAAAACATCAGTGGGATAAATTTTAATTAATGTGGATCTACATCAGATCTTCGTATTGTTTGGGGCTTATGGACACATAGGAAACCTGGAAAGACTAGCATGGGCAGGGCCGTCTTAAGCATATCTGGCGCCGTGGTGCAAAGCTCCCTCTGGCGCCCCCCCCCTTCCCAGGGTCTTTTAGGGAGGATGACGCTGCCAACAGGGCTGGAGCAGGCAGGCAGTGGCTGGAGGGCGGCTCCTCCGGCGGGGAAGAGGCGGAGGCTGGATGTGTTGCCTCCCGGCTGAGCTGGCCACTTTGTGCCATGGTGGCCACGGCAGATGGAGGGACTGGGTGCAGCATTGCTTCGGCGCGGCATGGCGGAGGCAGGCGAGGGCAGTGAGCTGATGCTGGGAGGTACTGTGTTCAGCCTCTGCCTCTTCCCTGGCGCCTTCCAGAACTTGGCGCCCTGGCGCCCGATGCCACTAGCCTCTATGGGTAAGACACCCCTGAACATGGGCACAACACACACTTCACAACCATGAACCCACCACATCCTGTTCTACTGGCTGTGGTAAATGCTTCACCCTCCCCAAATCCTTGTTCTCATTTGTTCCTTGTGCTACATTTACAACCCATGAACCATGTGCTGTTCTAGTCAGCAGTCAGGATTTTCAGTGAGCCTAAAACTGGCTCTTTGCTCAAGGGCAAACATATATTCCTATGTTGTTTCTGCAGGAGAGTTTAAGAGTGCAGGCAGAATCCTGCAGCACACCCTGCAGAATATCACATAGGAATATACAGCTAGTGGGAGGAGGTTGCATGGGTTTTTTAAGTGATTTGATTTTTCCAAAGGTCTTGGAGCAACGGGTGCATGGCTTCTTGAACTCATGGAACTCTTGAACTCATAGCATCATTTCCTTTTGTCAGAAGGCCAAAGCGTACAACCTGGTGCGCTGAGGTATAGTCTCGTTTGGATCACCCTGTACTGTTTCAGTGGGGAATTCTAATGTGTCCAGAGGATGTGATTCTTCCCTTCACAGTATGAGTAAATTCAACTATTTCTAGTTCTGTGTGACACAATTCAAGATGTAAAAAGTGTTAGGCAACTTCCCTCGCTCCAGTTCTGTCACTTAAAGAGAAAGCAAGCTTTCAAGTTTTTGTTATTTTGAGGCTGCATACAGTAGACGTCAGGAAATATACAAACACACGTTCTAAATGCTTAAGTCACTTCAACCAAATTGTCAACCTAATCATAGGTCTCTTGTCCAGGGACAACCAAAGTGGTGCCATCCAGTTGTTGCAGCGTTATATAAATATATTTTATCTTTAAAAAATCCTGCTTAAAGAAACATGCAAGACTTATCATAATCTAATATTGGGGCCCCTTCCAACTTTTCAATTCTGTGATTCATGACTAATTCTCTGTTACCAATGAACCATGCTATCTGAATGAAACCCAGAGGCAAGGTGAGGTAAAATAAGGTTTTGTGCTACTTTTTGGAAAAAAGGCCCCTATAAGCAGGAGAGAAAGGGTTAAGAATAGAAAACGCAGACCATTAGATGAAATAAATACAAACTGCAGCAGATAATGTCAAGGACAGCCATGAACAGTAATGAGACCATAAAAAGCATAAGAGTTAAGCACAAAGCCAGGGTACTGGAATAACAAACTCATATATAGACAGGCAGGAAAAGGTGGTCTTTGTCATGATGAACATAAGAAGAGTCCTGCTGGATCAGGCCAAGGCCCCATCCAGTCCAGTATCCTGTTCTTACTGTGGCTAGCCAGAAGCCCTCGGGAAGACCACAAGCAGGTGTCATAGCATTTATGTAATTTTTTTCTTATCAACCGAAAGATGTCAAAAGAAGCTAAGAAAGAACCTGCTGAATCAGGGCAGTGGCCCAACTAGTCCAACAACCTGTCCTGTTCTAACAGTGGCCTGTGAGGAAACCTGCAAGCGGGACCTGCAAGCGGGACCCCTCCTGCGGTTTCCAGCAAGCAGTATTCAGTAGAAGAGTTTGGATTTGATATCCCGCTTTATCACTACCCGAAGGAGTCTCAAAGCGGCTAACATTCTCCTTTCCCTTCCTCCCCACAACAAACACTCTGTGAGCTGAGTGGGGCTGAGAGACTTCAGAGAAGTGTGACTAGCCCAAGGTCACCCAGCAGCTGCATGTGGAGGAGCGGGGATGCAAACCCGGTTCACCAGATTACGAGACTACCGCTCTTAACCACTACACCACACTGGCTCTCAGTGTCAGTGGAGGTTCAGCATAGCCATTAGGAGGCCAAACACACCTTCCAAGGAAGGATGTCCCAAAGTAAAAGGAACAACCTACCTTAAGAAAATAAGTTCCATACTCTGTACATTTCTGCCTGTGTTTTATAACCTGTCATTCAACCCCACCCTACGTTTTACATGTGGTAATGTTCTTCCAGCTACTCATGAAGTCTGCAAAAGGGCAAAGGAACCTTTTTTTTTATTACACCACATCCGTGTTCCTGATCCTGTACGATCCTGCTGCAGCTTGCTAAATGTTATATTAACCTCTGAGGGAATCGGAGAACCGCCTCGCAACCGTTATTTGTGCAGATGTTTTTCACGCTGCTGTTGATATTCCGAAATATGCTGCTTTAGCATTCCTTGCTAGTGGTGGTATTTTCTGCATGAGTACGAAGAGGATTCCACTCCCTGCCCCCTCCCCCAGTCCCCTTCTCACCATCCAGCAATAAATTTGTTACTCTGAGTCTCTCAAAAGCAATATAATAAGATAATTCACAAAGAAGCACTGGAACAAAAGTAAGGGGGGGGAGACAAATTCAAGGCATAGATGTCTAGTCTTGTTTTACGCATTGTTGTTAGTGCCAGTAGTGGAAACACATATATCAAAATCCATGAATGGTCTTACAGGGTTCGAAAGGACCATAGATGTTGTCATATTATGTGAAGTAATTTGAAATATTCAGATGGGGTGGGAGAGAGAAGCTACCCACAGTATACTGGAGGTAGCAGAAAACCTGTCTATGCCCATTATACTGGAGATATTGTTGAAGAACAGCTCATCCTTATTGTAAAGATTAGCTAAAGATTCTAAGGTCATTGAGACCTTGGGTGATCTATTTAAGTACCTGTTGCGTAAGTTAAAGCTTCTCATAGGCAGCTTTAATAAGCACACCTGACCATTTAAAAATGTTCTGTTGTTTGTGATCAAGAGCCAGCATCAAAAGAGCTAGGGTCAGAAGAGATTAACTATTTCATCTCCTAGGAGATTTGTATAATTATATTTTGTACTCTTTGCCATGTGCGAACAAAAATAAACACAAAACCCTTCAGGCAAGTCCATCTCCCAGATGGGAAAGATAAATGATGAGCACAGGAAATCGCTCGTCCACAAAGAGATATAATTTATTTGCCTTGCAATGTTTATATAGTGCACTTCAAAATTCATTTACAGAGCCATATACCATACAGGATTATGACAAAGTAGCACAAAGCAACAACTAAAGAACAATAAAAGCAACGTAATACGCAACTAAAATTAAAATTAGCAATAAATTTTCAAGCAATGGCCTCAAAGGCTAGGACCAGACACTTGTCCCGTCCAGTAAAGCAACAAGTGTTACTTAGGGCCTAATGCACATCCCAGCGGACAGCATTCGCCATTGTGGAAGCAACTACTGGGAAGGGGCAGAGGAGAGAGACAGGAATATTTTGAGAATCCTTTTAAATTGTTCGCCAGTTTGCAGGTTTCCTGAAATAATAATAATAATAATAATAATAATAATTATTATTATTATTTATACCCCGCCCATCTGGCTGGGCCTCCCCAGCCACTCTGGGCGGCTTCCAACAAAACACCAAAATACAATAGTCCTTCAGATATTAAAAGCTTCCCTAAACAGGGTTGACTTCAGATGTCTCCTAAAAGTCTGGTAGTTGTTTTTTCCTTTGACATCTGGTGGGAGGGTGTTCCACAGGGTGGGTGCCACTACCGAGAAGGCCCTCTGCCTGGTTCCCTGTAGCCTCACTTCTCGCAATGAGGGAACCACCAGAAGGCCCTCGGCGCTGGACTTCAGTGTCTGGGCAGAACGATGGGGGTGGAGACACTCCTTCAGGTATACTGGACCGAGGCCGTTTAGGGCTTTAAAGGTCAGCACCAACACTTTGAATTGTGCTCGGAAACGTAAAGGTATAAATAAGTCTGTTTATGAATCTGGTAAATTATAACATCAAATTCAATGGCTTCTGTTCAGGACAAATTGGAGTTGTGCTGGGTTTATTTGCCAACAAACAAAATGATACAAAGCTGGATCTCATGGAAGGGCTGGTGATATATAGAGAATGAGCTCTGTTTAGGTAAATGTGCCTGCAAGTTCTCAAGCAGTCTTTATCTGGAAGGGGGAAAGGGAGATCCATCAGATACCCAATCCTGGAAAATCTGTGGATCTCCTACTCTTTACTCTTATAAGGTCCCAATGGCCTCTTGTTTACTTTTGTACATGCATGTATTTCAGCCTGGAGGTGGTGCTAAAATGCCACTTTGTAAGCAGGGGGTGATAGCTCTTGAATTTGTTTAAATGTTATTCCCTACCACAGCCTGCAGGCATTCAACTCAGCAGCAAGTAGGAGCTGGAGTGGGGTGGAGCCTGATGTGTTCCTCCTAAGCTGGCAGTAGTCATTTTCAGGTACCACATTTTTTTCCTGGCCTGTGGGTCACACACCTCTGAGATTCTATGCATATCCACCAACATTTCACAGAATAAAAGGGAGGCATGTTTATAGCATCCCAGTTTTCTAACTGAAAATCACCACCCAAGACCCCGCTGCAACTTACACATTGCCGAAAGCCCTGCTCTGTTATATGCTGCAGTGTCAATGCAGCGTATTAGCTATCGACTAAAAACAGCATGACGTGGGTGGCGCTGTGGGTTAAATCACAGAGCCTAGGACTTGCCGATCAGAAGGTTGGTGGTTCGAATCCCCACGACGGGGTGAGCTCCCGTTGCTCGGTCCCTGCTCCTGCCAACCTACCAGTTCGAAAGCATGTCAAAGTGCAAGTAGATAAATAGGTACCGCTCCGGCGTTTCCGTGCACTGCTCTGGTTCGCCAGAAGCGGCTTAGTCATGCTGGCCACATGACCCGGAAGCTGTACGCCAGCTCACTTGGCCAATAAAGCGAGATGAGCGTCGCAACCCCAGAGTCATCCGCAACTAGACCTAATGGTCAGGGGTCCCTTTACCTTTACCTTACATTTGCATCTTATTAAAATCTCTGTCATCTTTACAAATATTGGAAGAACTTATTTATAAATAAATAAATGGTCAGGGGTCCCTTTACCTTTGGCTTTAAAAACAAAAAGAATGGCATCTCTTGTGTGCAAAATGGCATGCTGTGCACCTAATGGTGCCTTAGCATTAGCATACATGCAGGTATATGCTTGCATACCAGATATACAATGCTCCCACTCCACGCTCAGAAATGTAATGTGTAGAAACCCTGGGAAGGAGCTGGATCCTGAAGAATGACAACTCTAGCAACTCACCTTGACAACGTTTTAATGAGGCAGCCCTGAAAGGCAAAAATGGAAACATCAGTTTTCTGGGCTCAGATTTCAAAAATTGGAGCTGTCTCTGGTAATCAAGGACAGATGAGGGAAGTGGTAGACCGCGATTCTCAGTTTATTCCCCAAAAAACAATTCTAATACAATTTATATAATGCTTGATCGTAAGAACGGAACGGAACTGAAAGTGGTTTACAAAATTATATTATTACAAATAATCAGGGTGAAAAGAGTAATAAGAATTGTATATTCTTCTTGTACATTCTTATTGCTTTGTATTATTATGATACAATAATAATTGTAGCCTTGCAGTTCCTTAATCACGAGAAGGCTTTAAACACTATAGTAATATCCATATGACATTGACTAAGCTCTCCAGGAGATGGACAGTCTTGACATTTTCAGTGATCAGAAAATGGCCAAACAATGTCAAATGCATTTTTGTCTTTAAGACTGTTGGGGTCTTCTCAAAGGGACCTCCTGGGCAGACTGTCCTTCTATGCTTCTTGGAGAAAAGGTAGAGGACAAAAGGAATTCCATTTAAATGCACAAACATACACACCATTTGGTATTCAACGAGTTTGCATTAGAGCTGCTTTTCGATTCTGATGCTTTTAGGGCGCCTGCATATTTAACACATTTTAAATTGCCTCCTGATTCCTTTATTATTGTAAGCCACACATGAAAGTGTCTGAAGAATAAGGTTAAAATCTCTATAATACATGAACATGTTCCTAGGTCTGCTTACCTGAATCTTTATTAATATTAGATGAATTTCATGTCTAGTTTAAATAGTGCAGCATATCTAAAGTCTAGTGTTAAGACTGATGTTGATGCTTACGTTTCCAAAACATGATGGTTTGAAGAGACCTACTTCCAAGTAAATATTCTTCAAATTTGCTTTTCAGCCTGATTAAAACTTGGTCCGTGAAGTAGAAAAGCCTTTTGTACCTTGAGCTAAGAATACATCAAACTAACATTTTTGATCATTTCTCTCTGATTTTGCAGTTGAATATACCTAAGATCTATGCATGTTTGAGTTTAACCTTGAAATTCTCTTGTCTTATTGCAGGAGTAATGATGATGATCCCAGGAAGCATGCTTTCTTCAAATCAATAAACTTTCACAGGCTGGAGGCAGGCCTTATAGATCCTCCCTTTGTGCCAGATCCCAGCGTTGTCTATGCCAAAGATGTTGCAGACATTGCTGACTTCTCTGAAGTCCGGGGGATAGAGTTTGATGACAAAGACAAGAAATTCTTCAAGAAATTTGCAACAGGTGCTATCCCAATACCTTGGCAGGAAGAAGTCATTCAAACAGGACTGTTTGAAGACCTGAACAATCCCCACAGATTAGTTGCTGACTCGAAATCTGGAGTTTGTTTGTTGTTATAAATATTGCACCAGAAATGTAAGGGTGGGAACGCACCATTGAACCTTCCATTATTTCAAAGACTTTAAGGTGTGTAGCAAGAACTCATTGTCGTCATAAAGGCAAGCCGAATAAACTGTTCTCTTCCATTTTGGTATTTTATTGGAAATTTTCAATGAAGAATGAGGATTATTTTAAAATAGCATGATGGATTAACAACTCATGGTGATTTCTGGATAAAATACACAAAATCATTTGGATATATATTTTCCTCCCTTGAGACTGCTTCTGCTTTGTTAGGTTTCAGTAGTGATACATCCAAGTTCTTTATGAAAAAGACTGATCACTGGAGTGACACAGTGGGTCTAAACTGATTGCAGTTAAGTAGGAAACTCAATAAAAGTGTATATAGGCTATGCTTCTCCATTTATTAAGTATTAAAACAATAGTCAACATATTTTTGCTACTGATTGCAACTTCCTATCAGATTTCCTGATAGTATCTTTTCACTCTGATGAAAGCTGTAGTTTAAATTAAACTACAAAATGAATCACACCAGTATGTAACTGGTCTTTAAAGAGACAATAATATAAATGCAATAGGAGTGTTTATTCAGCAAGCAATGGGATTAAAAGAAATGGTTAATTGTTTTTACAAGTGCTTTTAATGTTGGAAACTAATGTACATAACGTGTCTAGCTTAAATGTGTACTACATCTGGTTCTTTTACAAATCTTGGTAAATCTCTCATTTTGACATTTCTTTTTTGTGTTTGAGGGTGTTCTGAAGCTGGTTAACTTAGGCAGGCAAATCTTAGATAAAAATGTCTAGTTATTGGGGGTTCTTCAACAGCAGAAGTTCATTTATGCAAGTTATGTCCCACCCTAAATTCTCAGATGAAATTATTTCTGTGGCCCTGCAGAACTGTATAAACTTAAAAGCGAGCATGCAATTGAACACTTGGGGAGGTTTATGATTGGAGAAAATCTCAAAACAGATGGCACCAAATTACTCACTGATAAATGTAATTTTTAAAATTATGCCATTTACAATCTTGAACCTTAGCCTGCCTCCCAATCAGTTTATCTGTGTGGTTGCCAGGCATCCAGCAGTGTGACTCGAATTCTGATCGCATTCTGAATTTCATCCAGTAAAACTTTAATTAGATATTGTTGTGATTCAAAGTTTTGTATAAAACTGAGTTAATCTACAAAGAGCTGTGTCTCCTCTGTTTATTCCCTACTATTTCAGCTTTTTTGTTTCACAATCTGCACATCTTATCCTCAATAATACTGATACTTGAAAGTGAGAAAAAGCCTTACTTCAGATGAAGTGACTCGAGGAAAACAGGCAGAAGCCTGAGCCAAAAAGATCTTTTGTTTCTGTGCATTCCTTTAACTGAAGGGAAAACATTACAAAAAATTAAAAAATTAGCCCAGACTTATTTCAGACATCCTCCCATTTGTGGCTGCTAGAATTACAAGGGTACAGAACCAGAATTCAGGCCTAAGTTAAAACCACAAGAGACCTGCTTATTAAGATATGACAAATTCTGTGTTTTGCCCTGTATACTGCAATGTTCTGTTTTCGGTTCAATGGTAATCTTAAATTAATCTCAGAACCATCTCCCATGAGGCAGGGTGAAGCTGTTGCCTCATGTGGCGGAATTTCCAACAAGATCTCGCTGAAATCTCATGAGATCCCACGGAGCACATGAAATCTCATGAGATTTCAGCAAGATCTTGCTGGAAATTGGCACCAATGCTGGCGCTGCTTCCCTGGCGGAGGCAGTGGCAGGGTAGCACTGGCCATTTCACATCAAGCAGAAAAACAGGATGTGCCGTCCCTGTGTGTGAGCAGCTATGCTTGTCTTTTGCAGAAGTGTCAGGGTTTGGAAAAGGGATTCAGGTTCCAGATCCGATTTTTTTTTTAAATTTTTTTTACTAACTTAGAAGATACAGGGGAGCCCAGAGCTGAAAGTGGAGTTTGGTGACATGTGGAAAGCAGTGGGAGAGCCCACCCAGTTACTGGAAATCCTTGCAGGTTAGAAGGTTCGTGGATGGACCGAACAGGAAAAATGTATCATTTGACTGTGTTCCTGGAGAAGCAGGCAGTACGTCTGAAACGTTAGTTGCTGTTGTAGGAAATCAGGTTTAAGATCAGGATTCTAAACTAATTCTGGTGAACTGAAATTATTGGTTAAGCTTCTTATTTAATGCGTACAGAAAGAGTTATTTACATATAAAAATGGAGCTGAAAGTCCTGAGTCTCCCTGGCTGCATCAAAGTTAGTGAACAAATGAAATCACTCTTTGGGGATTATTGTGGTGATGAAATCCCAGCTGAGCATGTTTATGAGTAGCTGCATCTAAGAAAACAAGCTCATCTAACCAGTGCACTTTAAAGCAAGCAGCTTCTGTGGTAATCCACAATTTTTTTTATTATGGACTGACAATTAGATGTTTGAGTTAGACAGTATGCAGATTCATGTCAAACCAGCAGGACTCAAGTAAATTAAATTTTCTAAACAGCTCTCTTTCCAGCATACAGGCATAAGCAAATATCCGCTGGAAGAAGATGAACATTCGAATTAGAATTAAACCAATGTTCTTTTTTTTCTAATGCGGTCTTCATGTTAGTAGATTCCGATGAACTAAACTGGACAACAAAAATTAACGAAGACTGTCTTCATTTAAAGTTTCTTTCTCTCATCAGAACAATGCCATTACAAAAGTACAAATTCCAGTGAAACAATTTTCCCTGTGTTACTTTTGAACTACTTCAATTTTTAGTTTGTTGGATAACAAAATTACAGGGATTTGCATATCTGTAGTGACACTCTGAAATAATAACAGAGGATATAATTAATTCACATTAGCCCACCATTATATTCCCCTCCCAATGTTTGTGAAATTAGTGCCATCTCTTTATACCTAAAGCATCAACTGACAGTAAATAATTCCTACAGGTATCAAAACAGGAGTTAATTTAAAACTCTTCCGCTGCGGGAAGGCACCAGATTGGGGAAGGCTGCTCTGTAGCAAAATAACATGGCTACCATGAGGTAAACTAAGGCAGCAGTCTTGCCAAATGTTAAATAACTGACTCCTGGGTGCAGGAATGTCTTGGTGTTTTGTTCCACTATGTTTATTTTTAAGGCCAACAACAACTATACAAGACCTGGGGTTGAGGTGGGGGAAGCCACCAGCTTCGAAGGAAACACTCTGATGATACCTTATGGATTTGTCAAGTGATGAACCAGCAGTGTTAACAAAGGTTGTGCATCACCCTGAATCTAGCAAGATACCCGTGGGTTCCGGGATTGTGTTTCCATTGGGAATCGGGATGCGGCAAAAACTGTCATGTCTTTAAGAAACATGGTTTCTTTTACACATATTTGCACCTAAAGCCGGCGGAGGGTGTGCAGAACATTACACCCCAATAGTGTTCCTTGTTGCTCCTCTCATTGCAACAACAACAACAATTATTAATACCCCGCCCATCTGGCTGGGTTTCCCCAGCCACTCTGGGGGGCTCCCAACAGAATATTAAAAACACGATAAAACATCAAACATTAAAAACTTCCCTAAACAGGGCTGCCTTCAGATGTCTTCTAAAACTCAAATAGTTGTTTATTTCCTTGATATATGATGGGAGGGCGTTCCACAGGGCGGGTGCCGCTATCGAGAAGGCCCTCTGCTAGGTTCCCTGTAACCTCACATCTCGCAGTGAGGGAACCGCCAGAAGGCCCTCGGAGCTGGACCTCAGTGTCCAGGCTGAACGATGAGGATGGAGACACTCCTTCAGGTCTACTGGGCCGAGGCAGTTTAGGGCTTTAAAGGTCAGCACCAACACTTTGAATTGTGCTCGGAAACATACTGGGAGTCAATGTAGGTCTTTCAGAACTGGTGTTATATGGTCTCGGTGGCCACTCCCAGTCACCAATGGCCTCTGGTCTCTCAGTGAAACCTTTTCCAGCCAGTACATGTGGAGTTTGCCCTCTAGCCAGCTTAGGCACTTAGTTCTTCTCCCTCTGGTTTGCACATTTCTTTTCTATGTAATGCTTCATTTCCAGCTTGAAAACTGCTGCCTTTAATAGCCAGAGATCCCTGTCCAACTTTCCAAGAGGCAAGCCCCAATAAGGTTGCAACTGGTTTGGAGAAACCTTGCTCCTTTGCTGTTTATAGGCCAGTTACAAATAAGGCATGCTGTTACCAATATGTGAAAAATATGTGATGTGAAAAATCATTGATGTTCCATGTTTCCTCTTTCCTCCCTTTCCCACTGGTTTGAGAAACATGGGCCAAAGCCTATGTAAGTCATATTCAGAGTAAACCCATTGAACTCACTGAACTTATGCTGACTATGATGCCTTAGTTGGGGATCAACCATTGTACTTAGGGACTTTATTCTACTGTGTTTACTCAACCTGCCTAGAATGATCCTTCTTTTGTAGATTATATTTTCTGATTCAGTGAACTACCCCTAATGCTGCAGTAAAAGAAACGAAGATTATTTTAGCACCTTACGTAATGCTGCATTGTTTGTGCTTTATATGTTATGCCAAGAACAAAATGTTTTACATTCATCACACCCTCGTCCTTCCTCTTCCTCATAAAACTCCTATATTTTAACCTCTGTGACCTAATTTCTTGACACTGTGAACACAATGTCAAGATCTGCCCGCTGTATATTTTGCTCACACACCGCAGGCTGGATTAAGGCTACTGCAATGGATTGATGTTTTTGCAAAGAATACCAGAGGGGTGACTCTGGTTACTTGTCATAACTTGTAACCCAGTTAACAATAGTAGGCTAGTTGTTTAAAACAGCAACGACTGAATTGGATGGTTCCATTGTCCCCCTGTTCCCCCACTGGAGCTGTGTAAAAACACACTAAATGGATGTACTAGATGTGTCACCTGACTTGGATTCCCTGGAATGAGCGAAATCAACGGCATGGTTGGAGTTCTTACTTGCCAGCTCTTGAACTGACACACACTATGTGTGTGGTAAGCCTAGTTAAACCAGCTTAAGCAATAATGTTAAGCAATACAGGAGTTTTCTCTTGTTGCTCTTATTTCTGTTTTCTTCTTCTTCTTTTGTTTTTTGTTTTAGTTACACAGCTTGTGTGCTCAGTAGTCCAGCACTAAATTGCTTTGGTAAATGCTGATTCCTTTAAAAGTGGGAACTCTCAGACTCAAGATTTACCCACGCTGGAAGAGTGGCAAACGCAACTGATTGACTATATGGAGTTGGCCGAAATGACTGCCAGAATCCGAGACCTGGGAGAAGAAGCAATGGAGGAGGACTGGAAAAAATTTAAGAACTATTTACAAAAATTTTACAAGTTATATGAACTATAAAATGACGCACAATCTGAAATGCTAGCCCCAGTAACGAGAGTGTAATATTTATGAAATTGGATAATATTACTGAAAGAATCAAAGTTTAAATGTTAAGAATGATAATATGTCTTGTTTTCAGGGTAAATGGACAATAAGGGATTTAAACTTAAATTGCAACTGAAAGTACCAATAGAAACACATGAAACAAGGTTACAATTTGCTGATAAATTTATTATTAAGAATGCATTGTGCGGGAGATGTGGGGAAGTTTGATGGAAAGTTGGAATAAGCTGTTGAAGGGGTATGATTTCTCTTTTTTCTTTTACATTTTTCGTTTACTTTTTCTTCTACTGTTTTCTGTCTGTGTCTGAAAAAATGCAATAAAAATTATTATAAAAAAAAAAAATAAAAGTGGGAACTCTCATGGCTTTTAAATTTTTAACATCAGTCACATTATCCTCTAAATGCACGTAATGGCTACACCACAGACTGTTCCTGTGGCTGTAATAAACACTTTTTAAAAATACTGAATTTTAAATTGTAACCTGCCCTGGTATGCGTAATAAACAACAGCAACAAAACCGATGATGTACTTCTTCACACAATGCCGAGTGAAACTGTGGAACCTTCTCCCACAGGAGGCAGTGATGACCACCATCTTGGGTGGTTCAAAAAGAGGATTAGACAAATTCATGGACGAGAGGGCTATCAATGGCTACTGGCTGTCACATGGAAGATGGAACAAGCTATTTTTCTCCTGCTCTGGAGGGTAGGCCTCAGACCAATGGATTCAAGTTACAAGAAAGGAGATTCCAACTCAGCATCAGGAAGAACAGTCAGAGCTGTTTGACAGTGGAACAGACTCCCAA